ACCCAGTGCCACATCCAGGCTTTGTTAAACACACCCAGGGATGGGGACTGCACCACCTCCCTGGGCAGCCATTGCAGAACTTTATCACTTTTCTGTAAAAAACCTTTTCCTAATATCCAACCTATATTTTTTTTCCTAATATCCTAATTAGGTTTTTCCTAATATCCTACCTATAGGATAGGATCTTGCCAACTTCCTAATATCCAACCTATATTTTTTTTCCTGATATCCAACCTGTATTTCCCTTGGCACAGCTTGAGGCTGTGTGCTCTGGTTCTGTCAGCGCTGCTGCAGAAAGAGCCCAGCCCCAGCTGAGCACAGGCACCTTTCAGGAGCTGCAGAGAGTGATGGGGGCACCCCTGAGTCTCCTTTTCTCCAGGCTGAGCACCCCCAGCTCCCTCAGCTGTTCCTCACAGGGTTTGTGTTCCCAGCCCCTCACCAGAGCCCTCAGGGGTGCTCAGGGTGGGGTTTTTGGGGTGGCTGTGCAGGGACAGGGGCTGGATTTGATCCCTGAGGGTCCCTCCCAGCTCTGTGACCTTTTCAGCTTTTCCCAGCCCAGGCTCAGCGATATCTCACAAAGATGCAGGGCCAGGGGCTGGATTTGATCCTTGTGGGACCCTTCCAGCTCTGGAGCTGTGTCCTGCCAGGCAGTGACTCCCTGCAGCCTGGTTCCTGCCCAGCAGCACCTTTGAGGTGAGGCACAGCCCCAGGAACCCCTCAGGGAACACCAGCAGGGCTCAGGAGAAGGGGCTGATCCCAGTTCCCAACCCCACCAGCACATCTGCTACAGGTTAAGACAACACAAACTGCAACCATGAAAATAACCCTCCACCCGCCTTTCCCTCAGCCTCCCCAGATTCCTGGCTAATAACATGTTTAACTGTGTTCCCTGTGAGCTCTGCAGGACAAATGAATGAGTGGATTTTGCAAATGAAGCTGCAGTGATGTGACCCAGAGCTGATAGGAGTTTCCTTGACATCATCCCCAACACTTCCGTTGCCATAACAAAAGGCAGCTCTGCTCTCTGGGCAGCCCCCTGCTCACTCACAGGGAAACAAAGTGTTGTTCTCCCCAGAACAACCCTCTGTGCACAGAATAATTGGATTAAAATGGTGGTGGGGGGCTCTCAGAGGACACAGCCCACTTTGCACAATTCCTCTCACAAAGGGGATGGTCCCTGTGCTGCACAGCCAGGGGTGACATGAGAGCTCTTGGAGATATCTTGGAGTGGACAACAGCAAACAGCTTTAAAACATCCTTCAGGTTGGCAGGATGGAATAGGTACAAATGGTTTGCACAATTAAACCCAGAGTTGCTAAACCTGAGTTCAGCATTTAACATTCCAGGATGTTTTTTAATTGTTTCCTCATCACAGGGATGCACTGGGAGAGTTGGGGTTCTCTCATCAGTGAGAGAATCTGGTGAGCAAACACAAATTGAGGTTTTCTTCATGTTTTAGCCATTCCTCTGGATTAGAACTAACTAATTCAACTTACAGACTAAATTAAAGTCTGGTAACTCCTAACCTGTGCTAAAGAGGAGTTAAGTAAACTCCTAGTTAACTAAACTCCTAACCTGTGCTAAAGTGGATTCATTCTTCATAAAGAATGAATCCAAAGGGTCCTGATGCTGAAAAGCAATGATGATGATGATGATGAGGCTGTGTCAGACCAGGTAGTCCCCACCCCACTGTCACCATTTTACTGAGAAAGGCCCCCAAAAAGCTGTTCCAGAACACTGAACTGTAGGGGTGTTAATGAACTTAAAATACTCCTGGAAAATGTTTTCATGTGGTCTTTTATGGTGTGAAGTGACAGCTGCCAGCAGGCAGAAGAGCAGCTCTGAGAAGCCTCCCTGAGCAGGGTGAGGCTGAGGAGAAAGTTTGGGATCACTCAGGGTGGGATCCCAGAGGAACAGCAGAGATGTGGGACAAGCAGGAGGAGAGGAGAGGATTCTCTGGAGCCATGGAGAGCCTCAGGATGGCCCAGGGAGAAGGAGGGGACCTGTGTCAGAGATTTTAGGGCACTTTGAACGTGCAGAACCTGCAGAACCAGCTCCAGGAACCCCCTGGAGCTGCTGGAGCAGAGCAGCCACAGTGAATCCCATCCTTTACCCACCACAGTTTGCTCTTCCAAGCCTCCAAGATGTGTGGGACAGGCCAGGTGGGGTTTGCACCCTCCCTCCGAGCTCTGAAATCCCCAGCCTGATTTCCAGCATTACATCTTTTGGCTTCAGAGCCGCGGAATGGAAGAGCCCCTGCTCCCGGGAGATGATCTATTGCACAATGAATTACTTTAAAACCAAATTGTTACCCCACAGGGCAGGGATCACACGACTTAAAGAGATGTTAACAAGCCGTGACAAACCTCTGGCATCAGAATTTTCAGGCAAGCTGTTCTGCATCTAAGGCAGTCACTAAAGATCACACAGCATCTGAAAAATGAAGGATACAGAGATGAGTAACCCCTCTCTGCTCCACTCCAGAGACCTGCCCATAGGAAGCAGGGCTGTGATTTGCACACTATCTGAACCTGATTATGGCTAATTTTTTGCATACAGAGCATGGAAAGGATCCTGGCTGAGGCATGGAAAATATGTGGCCACATGAGTCATTCTGCAATGGTTCATAAATCCTGAGAGAATCACAAAAGCAAAACATCTAACATTGCATCTTCCCTCTCCCTGCCAGTGCAACTCCACCTCTTGACACGCTCGGCACAGGGATGTGGGAATATGGTGAAAGCAGAGGAAATGGGATCATTTTCTCCTTGGAATAGAAGAATCTCATCAAACAGCAGCCAGGCTCAGATTTGCAACCTTCACAGAAGAGGCCATTCATGAGGAGAGGAGAAAGAAACGAGCTGCTCCTCCTCGCCTTGCCAAACCAAATTTACAGTTCCTACTGCCTGGGCTCCAGCTCCTGTCCTTCCTTCCTTCCCTGCAGAGCACAGCCCAAAGCCCAGCACCCTCCTGTCCCACTGACCCACGCCACACTGGGGCTCTGACACAGGAGATGGGAGAGGATTTAGGTGTCAGAGCTCAGTGCATCCCTCTGGGTGCCCAGGGTTGCCCAGAACCTTGCCAGGGGGCTCAGAGACCCTGGCACACAGCCCAGAGCACCTGGGGATTTGATTTTCACCTCATACAGCTTTGTATGAGGACCTGAAAGTCACAGAAGTTTAAATAGTATAATAAAATTATCACAGGGTTGCCCAGAACCCCACCAGGGGGCTCAGAGACCCTGGCACACAGCCCAGAACACCTGGAGATTTGATTATGACCCCTGGAGCAAGTTGCCAACTTTGTATGAGGACCTGAAAGTCACAGAAGTTTAAATAGTATAATAATAAAATGATCACAGGGTGAAAATGTAGATTTTAGGATTTTTGGTATGGGGGTTATGGGGACAAGATGGAGGAACTTGGGTGTGTCCAGCCCTTCTCCTTCTTCTTCTTCTTCTTCTTCTTCTTCTTCTTCTTCTTCTTCTTCTTCTTCTTCTCCTTCTTCTTCATGTTCTCCATTTTCTGCAGTGATGTTGGCACTTTGGGATTGGTTTAGAGTAGAAGTGCACTGTCTAACACAGGTGATGGGTATTGGGAATTCAGTGTAAATACGTTATAGGTAGTTTGTAGTATAAAAAGACAACACAGAGAGTGCCCTGTGGCTGCCCTGCTGAGCAGAAAGTAAAAATTTATAGATAAGAATTAATAAACAACTTCAAGAGTGAAAAGTGAAGAGTCCAGACTCGTTATTCAGACAGACACACGGGCTGAAACAGAGACACCCTGCACATCTCAGGGCAGCAATTAACAACAGCTACCCAAGAGATTTAGGAGCTTCCCAGAGCAGAGCACAGGAGGGACCTGCCTGGGGGTTAGAGCAGGTGGGACCTGGCAGCAAAGGCTCCTCAGGCTCATTTAGCCTCTGCCAGGCCCTGTTCCAGCATCATCTGGGTTGTCTGCAGCTCCCTGTGCTGCTCTGGGTTCCTATCCCAGGCAGAGTGGGGATTGTGCAGGGTGGGACTGCTCAGCTCTGGGGAAAAGCAGCTTTTTGTGAGGCAGGAGTGGCTGGAGCTCCCCATTATCTCCCCACCAGCAGGGACTTCCTGAGTGCCCTTTGCAGGCCCCTTTCCTGCTGCTTGGAGCTGCTCTCCCTGTTCCAGTGCTTTATCAGGGGAAGCAAAGCTTCTCCTCTCCCTGCCACCCACCCTTGGTGTGTCATGGTGCTCCTGCTGCTGCTTTCCAGTGCAAAGTCCTCCAAAAACCAGAGGGCTTTTAACCATCCTCTGCAGTAAAGGGTGCAGGAGCTTGGTGATGTTTAGCCAGGAATAAAAGGGAATAAAAAGGAATGAAAGGGAATAAAAAGGAATAAAAATGAATAAAAGGGAATAAAAAGGAATAAAAGGGAATAGAAGAGAATAAAGGGGAACTCAGAAGGGTCCAGCCTGACCTGGAGGCTGCAAGGCTGACACTAAAACCCTTCCACTGCCAGAACATCCCCCTGGAATCACTGGCAGATCTGGGTGGCCTGCAGCTCTGGTGTCTGGGATTTCTCCCTGTTTGTAGTACCAGCAATTGTTGTGACCCAGGCTTTAGGAAAAGACCTCAGCTCACTCACAGAGCCACTCAGGTCTCTGTAGTGGAGAATGCTCAGCATTTCCACGGGCTGAGCTGCATGGGTTCTGTTTACGTGCAGACCAAACCCCACATTTGTTATTTCCAGGAATATTCCGGAGCAGGAAGGAGACCCAGATGAGTCACTTGAGCCACCATCTCACTCCGAGGATGAAGTGCAGCCCTAAAACACGTCAGGCCTGGCTGGACAAGCCCCTCCCAGTCCCACTCTGACGCTGGGGGTGTCCAGCGGTGTCAGCCCCTCCATCCCCTCATCCTTCCGAGGGTTAAGGAGCAGCAGGAGCAGGAAATGCGTAAGCAGGGTCCCTCTGCTGCTGCTGCTGCTGCTCCCACACAGCTCTGGGCTCTGCCAGACCCTGCACTGCCATGGGCACCCTTGGGATCAGGCAGCTCCTGCTCTGCTGGGCCCTCTGGGGACTCTGCCTGGCCTCAGACTATGATGGTGAGTGTCTGCTTTGGGTCAAAGCTGGTGTTTGTTAAAGTGCTGGGTGTTTGGAGCTTTGTAAGATCCCTGGAAGCTCATTTTTAATGGGTTCATATGGGAGGATGCTCTGATAGAGCTTCATGTGGCTCTTGTTGAACAGAGGTGATACAGCAGAGAAAGAAGGTGGGGTGGAAGAGACTAGAAAGAGAAAGGAAAAATAGAGGAGCAGTAAACCAGAAAGGAGACAAAAGCTAAATCTTCAGCTAATAATACACCCAGAGCCACAGCTTTACACTGGAGTGGCTCCAGAACTTTGGATTGTTGTGAAAGCCCAGCAGAGGAATTTCTCTCTGGATTCCCAGGCCTGTTCATGAATTTACAAAGGAATTGTTCCCTGGATTCCCAGGCATGTTCATGGCTGAACAAGGGAATTTCTCTCTGGATTCCCAGGCCTGTTCATGGCTGTACAGAGGAATTGCTCTCTGGATTCCCAGGCCTGTTCATGGATTTACAGAGGAATTGTTCTCTGGATTCCCAGGCCTGTTTGTTCATGGTTGTACACGGGAATTTCCCTCTGGATCCCTAGGCCTGCTGAGAGCTGTAGAGCATCACAGTCCACTGTGAGCTGTGGGAAACCACAGGGCAAAGGAATCAGGGCTGTTCTCAGAGAGGTGGCTGAGGGTGGCTCCTGCACACCTAACTCTGCCAGCTTTTTGTGCCTGTCACTCAACAGCCTTTCCAGAACATTCCCAGTTGTAGGGAGCCCAGCAGAAAAAACAAAGAGCAGCGTTTGGGGTGAGCTGTGTGCTCAGAGTGTCCAGCTGAGTGAGGAACAGACTGAGAGAGGAACAGACTGAATAAGGAAGAGGCTGAGTGAGGAGCAGACTGAGTGAGGTACAGGCTGAGGAATAGGCTGAGTAAGGAATAGGCTGAGTAAGGAACAGGCTGAGTGTGTAACAGTCTGAGTGTGTAACAGGCTGAGTGTGTAACATCCTGGGTGAGTAACAGGCCTCCTTCCCCTCCCAGATTACTCCCAGAACAGCACCAGCGATCAGCCCAGCGCGCCAGAGGTCACCCCTTGTCCCCGAGCCATCCCGGGGGACCAGGCCACGGTCAACAACGTCACCTACCTGCTGATCCCCGAGGCCACCCGTGCCCAGCTGGGCAGTGCCATCACGGTGCGCCTCATCCCGTGTCTGTATGTCCTGGTGCTGCTGCTGGGGCTGCCCTCCAACGCCCTGGCGCTGTGGGTGCTGGCCACGCGGGCCGAGCGCCGGGCCCCCACCGTGTTCCTCATGAACCTGGCCATGGCCGACCTGCTGCTCATCTCCGTGCTGCCCTTCAAGATCTCCTATTATTTCCTGGGCAACCACTGGCCCTTCGGGGAAGGGCTGTGCCGCCTCACCACGGCGCTGTTCTACGGGAACATGTACTGCTCCGTGCTGCTGCTCAGCTGCATCAGCGTGGATCGCTACCTGGCCGTGGCTCACCCCTTCTCCTCCCGCGCTTTCCGCACTCCCACCTTGGCCGCCAGCACCTGTGCCGGGGTCTGGCTCTGCTCCGCCGCCCTCACGCTGCCCCTGACCCTGCAGCAGCAATCCTACCCCCTCCTCGGGGCAGGCCTCACGCTGTGCCACGATGTGCTGCCCAGGCATGACGATGATGGGTTTTATTTTTATTATTTCGTGGTGTTGATCTCCTGCGCCTTCCTGCTGCCGCTGGTGCTGCTGGTGCTGAGCTCGGGCGCGGTGCTGCGCGTCCTCCTGCGAGGGGGAGGCCGCTACGGCCACGCCGCCAAGCTCACGGCCCTCATGGTGGTCACTCTTGTGGTTTTTTACGCTCCCAGCAACATCCTGCTGCTGCTTCACTACTCCAGCCCCTGCTCCAGGCTGCACGGCCGGCTGTACCTCAGCTACATGGTCAGCCTGGCCCTCAGCACCTTCAATAGTTGTGCTGATCCCTTTGTGTATTATTACGTGTCGGAGGATTTTCGGGAGAAGGTAAAGAGGAGAGTGTTCAGGGGCAGCAAAAAAACCACCACGTCCCTAAAGACCTCCAAGGAAACGCTGCCCCGTTCCAAGCACTCGCTGGTGTGAGCCTCCAAGGGCGCTCATCATGCTCACAGAGGGGATAAGAGGAATTCAGCGCTGGAATTCCACAAGTTTCACCCAGAACAGCGTTTTGGGGCCAAGTGCTTTTCCCTGTTTGCACAGATAAGGATGAATAATGCCAGGCTGCGGGGTTCTTTGCTCAGACAAGATGCTGAGTGCTGGACACAACCACGCCTACAGCTTCTCAGCTGGTCACACACCCCCAGGGATGTTCCTCACCTGGGTCTGGTGTTCCTAACCTGGCTGTTCTCGCCTGCTAGTCTTGCTCCTGGCTTGCTCTATGTCCTTAAATGCATATTTAAGTGCATATTTAAATGCATATTTTCCCTTCCCCTAAAACAGAAAAAGAGCCATCATTGCAACCCCAAATTTCTTAAAGTTTCAAAAACCCCTCTCCTGAGCTAAAGCAGTCTGTCAAAAGAGTGCAGAACGCTGGCTTGTGTGGCAAAAACATTCTTGGCTTGATTTGTCAGCAGTGTTAGCCCACTGTTGGTAAAAGGTGTAAAAATCCCCTTCACTCATCCCTGTTTTTGCAAATCACCCTTGGCATCCATCATTCCTTTCAGGCAAAGGTTGTGTTAATGGATTTTGTAAAAAAATGATGTCTGATGAAGGGAAATAGTAAAGTAGGAATGGAGCAAAGCCTCTGGTACACCACATTGCCTTTATGTAACGTCACCTACAGCCAAAAGCTGGCTCTGATCAAAGAGGTGCTCAGGTTTGTTGTTTGATGGAACCTGCTGCAAATCTGACAAAATGCAGCCTGCTCATCTCTCAGACACAACTGGGGCACAGCTCTGAGAGCAGTCAGGTAGAAAATGAGCAATAAACCTCTTTAGAGCTCCTTAATTCTTTAGTTTTCCTAGCACAGGCTTGACAACATGAAGCATGAATAAAATGCAGAGAGGATTGTCTTAAAATCAGTTTTTAATAAAATATTTATCAGAATCTAAAACAAACACTTTTCTGGACTCAGACTTGCTAAGATGTGTGTGAACAAACCAACAGCTGCTCAGAGAGCTGTTTGTGTGTACCTGTGGGGGCAAAAGGCAGGGGAAACACAAAGCTGGGCTCCAGGTGCTGGGCACTCACTCAGAAACAGCAGAGACTTAAAAAAAACCCCAAACCCAACTCCAAAGTCAGGCTGGGAGAGGTTTTCTAAAGAGTTTCTCTATTCACAATAATGAAAACCAGGTTATTGTGCATTAAATGTCAACAGTCAATGTGAGCAAAGCAAGTGCTGGTGTGTCAGGGATGTTCTTCAAGCAAGCTGAACATTCTTCTGGTATTTGCTTTCTACTGAGGCTGATTAAGAAGGAGGGGAAGAGGCAAGACCAAAACACAGGACAAGAAAGAACAAGAGGGACTATTGCTTTAAAATAAATACCATGGTAATGATTACTCTGCATAATGTACAGTTACAAATATATAAATATTCATTTCCTTGAAAGGATTGCAAGCATCAATCACTGATAACTAGCACTGCTGCAGCTGTTCAGTCACAGAACTCGGTGGAAGAAGCAATTTCTGTGTCTTACAAACCCACTGGCACTTTTCTCCTTTTGCAGTGAGGGACCATCAGGAAAAGGAAAGGAGAAATATCTCTGATAGAGGGAGGCAAAGTCTTTAAACCAGAAATAACCCAAAGCAGCAGCAGCAGCTGCTGGCCTTGCTGGCTTTGGCTTTGCAGCACCCAGCTGGTCTTTTCCTTGGTGGAAAAATAAAATAAAATAAAATAAAACCAATCCTTCTGTCTAAACTGCCTGGCACAAAGTGGGAGCCTGAGATGTCCTTGTGCTCCCAGGGACAGGAGGGAGACTGAGCAGAGCCTGTGAGTGGCTTTGAGTCTGTTCAGCTGTGCTGCTCAGGGATCCAGTCCTACAGCTTCTGTATTCCAAGCAGGATGTTGAACAATGGAGGGAAAATAATCTATGCTTTTTTTCCCCCTAGATAAGAATGAATGATGGCTACAAGAAACATGAATGCAAATGTGGGACAGGGGAAAAGCTCTGGACCCTCAGCTGGGGTGGAGAAGGGAGCAGAGACCTCCTTTATTCCTGTGATGGGGGAAAAGGCAACCACAGTGGTGGAACTGCAGGTTCCTTGATTCATTTCCTTCAATAAAATCACCTTTTTTTTCTTTTTAGACACAAAGAGGAGCTGGTTTGGTGCAGCAAGAGCAGGGGAGGCAGAGGCTGCCAGGAACAGAGGGACTGGAAGGGCCAAGGCTCAGGGTGAAGTGAGGATCCAGAAATCCTGTCCCATCCCCTCCCACACACTGCCCTGCTCTGTCTGGCTCTGAGGACATTAAAGCTGCTCTGCCTTTGCCTTCTGAGGGTCCAGGGCTCTCTGGCTTTCCTTTGAATTGTAAAACAGAAGCCAGACTCCTCTGCCTCCAGCACTGGCACAGAGATGCCTCAGACAAGGCCCTGATTGATGGGCTGGCACCACCAGCAGGAATTATTTACCTGGCAGCAGCAGGGGGATGGCTGCAGCTGGAATTAGGACATTACATGTCCCACAGCCTAAGGGAAGTGAAGAAAGCCAGGTTTAGTTCTTGGCTGGAGCTCCCTATCCTCACCTCCTCATCCCCAGGGGGAGGCCTGAGTGCCCAAATATCTGTGAGAGGACCAATAAATTTCAAATTACTTCAAATATCTCTCCACTGGGTGTACAATGGGGGTGAGAGAGAGGAGAGGAACACCAGAAAGGGACTGAGGAATGCAGAGCACAGGTCCCAGCTCCTGGAGATGAAGGCAGTGACAGCCAGCATCAGGGTGATCAAATGCCTCATCCTCAAACTCACAGCACCAAACAGCTGCAGCCTGAACCAGCAAACAGCAGGGCTTGTATTGTGCAGTTTTAAGTTTTAGAAAAGGAAAAAAAAAAAAAGAAAATAAAAAAGGAATCTTGTTGCAGCTCACACTAGGCCTGTTATTTACCCAGGGATAAATATTGACCCAGTCCTGTGTGTGTACACAATAGCCTGCCAGGACAGTTGCTTGCAGGAGGTGGAATTTTAGTTTAAAGGCATTAATTTACCTGCCAGGCAGGAATGCAGCTGCCAGGGTGAGGGCAGGATCTGCCCCTGCACACCCTGGACCCTCACCCCATGAGGGGAGGCTGGCACAGCTGCCAACTTCTGAGGCAGCTCAGAAATTTCTGGGAACTTCAAGACCCAGACCTTCATCATGTCAACTGCATTCTGCAAATGTCTGGCCCCAGACAAAAAGGACTGGAAACTACACATGCCCAACCTCTGGGACACCTCCTGGTTGTCCCCATGTGGACATTTTTCTGGAATAAACTTGCCTTTATTCTGGTATGGAATGTCTATACTGGGATATATTCTTGTCATGGTTCCTGTGTAAACAAGCCTTAAAAATGAATGGAGCTGGGCTTTTTTTTTTTTTTTTTTTCTGTTTCCATTCACCAATAAACACCCTCAAAAAGGAGTTTCCACCCTGCTCTGGGTCCTGGTAACAATAGAAGTGGGAAGATAAAATATTAACACTATTTTGCAAGAGGCAATTGCATGTAACTCCTCCAAAGAGAACAATGCTGCTCCAGGCAGGAAGGGAAACTCAAAAAATCTTGGCTCCTGCACTTTTGGGAACACAAAGCTTTTCTTTTTAAGTTTTGCCACATTGCTTGGGGCAGGTCAGACCGAGGGAGTCCAGCCTGTGACACCAGGGATTGGTACTGGCCAGGGAGCACCAGGACCAGAACATGCTGTGCTGGATGCCAGTGGGAGCAAAATAAAAGGGGTTGGTGAAATCAGGCAAATATTTAAAAAGGGCTGTGCCTGGGCCAGGTTCATTTTCAGGGGCTGAGAAGGCTGCAAGCAGCCCCTGTCAGCACATAGTGCAACACAAAGAGGGCTCCCCCACCTCAGCCCTGCCTCTACTGAGGCTGCAAACAGCAGCAGACATGAAACCTTTCAGTCCTGGCAGTGGATTTCAGTTTTCTCAGGTTAAATGCACCTCCCTGAATAGTGGAGCCACAGGGAAGTGTTTCTTTCCTGATGGGCTGGGGGAGATGAGCAGCCTCTTGCTATGTCATAATTGGCAAAACACACTGATTTTTTATTACTATAATTTGAGCAAAAAACCTTCTCAGCCATCTGTCCTCAAACAGCAGTTCAGCTAAGCACAAGGCCTGGACTTAGCTTCTAAGTGTAGCTAGGAAATGGCATTTGCAGAATATCCTGATAGCAGAGAAAACACTTGGAAATGCTCTATAGGTTTGAATTCCAGCCCCTATTTTTCTCATCTAGAGGGCACACAGCATATTGGTCTCTTACCACTGGGAGGGCTCCAAAGAGGATGCACAAGAAGGCAGGAAAATGGACAGAAAAATAACTCTGAGTGTCCCCCTTAGAGCTCCAGATCTGCCCCGTGGGGCAGCAAAGCCTACAGTTCTGAGGGCATCAGCAAGTAGTCATCATTCAGGTTCTGTTCTGCAGCAGGTCATCATCTGGAGGAGCAAACTCATACAGGAGTCGATTCTGAGCCTCTTCTCTGGATTTAAATTATGTATTTCTGTGGGGAAGAGAACACAAGGAGGAAAAGTGACCTTGCTGTGACGCATCTTTGTGAGATATCAGTGAGACTGGGAAAAGCTGAAAAGGTCACAGAGCTGGGAGGGACCCTCAGGGATCAAATCCAGCCCCTGTCCCTGCACAGCCACCCCAAAAACCCCACCCTGAGCACCCCTGAGGGCTCTGTCAGTGAGGGGCTGGGAACACAAACCCTGTGAGGAGCAGCTGAGGGAGCTGGGGGTGCTCAGCCTGGAGAAAAGGAGACTCAGGGGTGCCCCCATCGCTCTCTGCAGCTCCTGAAAGGTGCCTGTGCTCAGCTGGGGCTGGGCTCTTTCTGCAGCAGCGCTGACAGAACCAGAGCACACAGCCTCAAGCTGTGCCAAGGGAAATTCAGGTTGGATATCAGGAAAAAAAAAATAGGTTGGATATTAGGAAATTGGCGAGA